ACGTTAAGGAGGTGAAGGGAGGCGGGTGGGGGTGCGGGTGCGGAGGGCGGCCAAACCCCAAACTGGACGGATCCGTCACCAAAGTGATTGCTCGGTGGAGAACTCTTCATTTTTCTTCCCTTTCAGCCCCGGGCCCCGCGAGCGCCGCATCGGGTCTCCTCCGGCTGGGTTTCCGGCCCTTTGGGGAGCAGCTGCGACAGAAGGGTCCAGAAGCGGGGACCCCAGGCGCTGTCGCTCCCGCCCCCCTCCCGCCCGCCGCAATCTCACCCGGAAAACACTGGGGTGCAACTGACAGAGGTTCAGGGTGGAAAAGCTCGGGGCGATAGTCCCCCCCACGCACACATCCCCGCATGGGGACTGGGTTTCGTGGTCACCATGGCAACCCCGAGGTTCGGTCGAACAACCGCGGGGCGCGCCGGGGACCCTCGCGCACGGTCCGAGGCGCGTTCTGAGGCCTGCAAGGCGCTGCGGCCCGTGGCCCTCGGCTTTCCCGAGCCCCCTGCCGTGGGTTTCGACAAGGCAGGGGTTGGAAAAAAACTCCCTGTTTTTTCAACGGAGGTGAAAAATCGAGATTTTAGTACAATCTCCGGCGGGGAGGTTCGGGTCTTGAGCAAAAGCCCCCACCTCGCGCTCAGAGCGGTGACTTCGGAGACGCGCGCGCGAGCGGGCTGCGGGCGCGATGCTGCGGTGGGCGCCCGAGGCCCGCACCTCCGAGGTCTCCGCGGGGCCCTGGGACTCCAGGAGCCCTGGAACCTCTTCACGGCTCCTGCCCACCCCCACCCGCACCCCAGGCTCCCACATCCGCCCAAGCAGCCCTTTCCAAGCCTGCCTGGAATAGCCTCTCCAGAAGGGAAAGAGAAAAGTCGGAACGAAACTGGAGGCATTCGCGTCTGCAAGGTCGTGCTGAGGGAAAGAATAAATTACACTCCTTTCCTTTTAGAGAAAACATTTGCGATGGTGAATGCAATAGAAATGACATTAAAATCCTATTTGGGGGTCGCAGGCCTTCCTTCTGGAACCTGCAGGGGGTAAATGCCCCTTTCTTTGGGGGAGGGAGGTGGACAGTGGACAATACATTTAGCATTTTGGAGGCAGCAAGCTCTGAGAAAGAACCCGGGCGCTGGCCAGCTCAGACTGACCAGCTTGGCGGTGATTGAGGTGCCAGAGGAGAGGGGGGCCACAGAAGAAGGGGTCCAGGCCTGGCTGCTGAAGAGGCCTTTGGCCATGGGATGGGAGTGACTCCTCTTTTGGGGTCCTACCCCCTGTTTCACTCTCTACCATGGTCCCCATTTGTCTCAGGGCTGGTCAGGAAAGACTAAGCTTAGTTTCCCTTCCTCTACTTCCGACAGGCCATCTAATGTCCCCCAAAGCTCTGGGCTGGCCTGGAGTGCCCACACCCACTCCTTTCCAGTCTGAATCCCAGGCAGTTACAGAGGTTCCCTTGACCTCAGTGGAGACCCCTGTCTCCTTCCCTTCCCAGAATTTTGAGAAGAGCCCTGTGTCTACAGAGCCACAGAGAAAATGGTGAGGATTTGAGGCTCAAACATCTGTTGGCATTGAGGTGCAATAACAACTAACGTTTACGACAGGCCGGGAGCTGTTGTAACGTGGTTTCACTTGCTCGTCCAGCTCTCAAATAATTAGGCTCAGAGAGGGCGAGGACTTGGCTCAGTCACACAGCCTGCTGGAAGCGCACCCAGCTCCTCGCCCTTTCCCTGGCTTTGTGTCTTCAGGTAGAGGCGGAAAGGGAACCCCAGGCGCTTCCCCAGGGGAGCCCGCAGGTGGCTCTGGGCTCAGCCGCTAAGGTCCGCCCTGGGAGGTGTGGAGGCGGTAATGGGACGGACCTGGCTGCCTGGCCCGCAGGGTCCTGGCGGTCCTTCCCAGACACTCGCTTCTCAGGGTGGAGGGAGCAGGCCAGGCTCGGCCCTTTTGTCTTTGCGTCACTCAAGACGTAATGCTCTTCCTGGGGCCCTTGGTCCCGCTGCCTCAAGGTCCCAGTGGCCGGTCTCAGGAAGGCCCCAGAGCCCTTAGGGGCTCCAGATTGGGGACCCAGAGGGACCTGTGCCTGGCGCCGGTCCTGAGGACTCATTCACGCCCCTCTGGTTGTCCCACTTCTAGGCTCTTCCAGCTGCTTGTTTGTTGCGACAGCCCACACTTCTCCCAGGCTGGCTCCTGGCGCAGCGCTGGCTGCCACAAGTCCAAGTTAAGAAGCAAAGGTGGGGGACTCTGAGATCCAAACCCTGGGAGTAGCACCCCAAAGGGAGGCTCAAGGGGTTCCCATTGTTTAATTTCCTCTCTTCAGTTTCCTCTACCGGGGCCTGCCGTCCCTGAGGTCTTCTAGGGGACTGATTCTTCCTGCCCCGGTGCAAAAAAATGAGCTTCCATCTCCAGGGTCCCCAGGGACCTCTACACCCTTCTCCCCCAGGACTCTGCGAGGACACCAGACTCTGTGTTGGGGGGCTTTGTCCCAGACCTCTCACTCCAGCTCCTCAGCAACAACAGCTCCCCCAAGGGCCCGATTTCCTAGTGCACCCTGGTGAGTGCCTGGGACCCAGCCGTGCATGCCTGAGCCCGGAGCACCTGAACCCGAGCCCAGGCCAGGCCAGGAGCGCTCCCCTTCCTCCATCCCTGTCTCTACCCTGCAACACAGCTCCAGGTGGGCTGTGTGACCCCTTTTGTATCTCTACGGGTGACAATGTGTCATTTGAGGAGGGACTTTGGGTACCTCTCCGCTGTTGTGTTAGTTTGTGCGTGTATCATTGTGTGTCCTTCCTTGAGAGAGGGCATTTAAAATAGATGTATTTTTTCTCCTTATGTGAACACACCTGTGAGTCTGCATTGTACACGCGGGCCCTGCACGTGTCCGGTTTGGGCTTGCGTGGGTTCGTGTCCTGTCGGGGAAAGCCTGTGTGTGTCACCTGCAGGGCAGCCACCACTCAGACATCACCACGGATCAAATGGTGCCCTGGGCTCATAACCTGGAGTTCAACTCCCCTCTCTTTTTATTGGCCACTTTTATGATTATTATTTTTTACCGACAGCTCCACGCGGGGACCGGCGGGCCTGGCCTCCTGCAAGGCAGCCGGAGCTGTGCTGATGAGACGGGAGGCCACGGGGGCTGTCTGCAGGCTCCCGGGCCACCAGCGTCTATATTTGGAAACAAATTCCACAGTCGCTTCCTGGGAACTGGGCAAAAGGTGCCTGGGAGTGGAGGAGACAGGGTCATAAAGGACCCCCTCTCCCTGCTCCCCCGGCGCTCAGGGGACCCCCCACGGCCCTGGCAGGTTGGAAACGAAGGGAATGCCGCCCAGAACATCGCCGTGACTGTGGACGGTGCCAGGCGGGTACTGGAAATATCGGGGGGACACTATGTAAAGTTGTCTAACCACGGGGCTGTACACCCGAAACCAACGCAAAATAAAACCGAAAGGAAAGAGAAGTGCCCGATCCACACCTCGACCGGGCAGAGTGAAGGAGGCGGGCAGTTAACACACAAGGACACTCGTCCACTGCCCCGGCGTCCCCGCTGTGCCCCTGCTCCCAGGACAGATGGATGGACTCCGAGCCCTGCGCGCGTTTACTTTTGGAAGTTGGTTCCGAGGAATCAGGTGCCACAGCCTGGCCGCCCCAAGGGCCTCGCCCCCAGACAGCCTTTGACCCTGTCCCTCAAGTCTGTGGGCCTGGTGGGCTGTGTAGACGCCAGGGTGAGACCAGGGGGGACAGCTGTCACCTGGGCTGCTGAGCCTGTCCCTCTACCCGCCCTGCCCTGAGAGCAGCCAGGCTTCTGATTCTCCCACCTCTGCCCTGCGGGGCTGGGAGGAAGCTGGCTGGCCTGAGCCCTGTGTCCTGGGCCCTTGCTGACATCACTGTCACAGCCGTCTGCCCCCACGGGGTCAAGCAGCAAGACGTCCCGGACCCAGCCACTCGGGAGTCATTTGCAGCACGCACAGCCACGGACAGCCACCGCACACACAGTCACGCCAGGCAGTCACCCCCCGCATACGTGAGTGTGGTCATTTGTGGCCCACAGCGCTGGCCATATTCATCCTCGCACATCCGTGTACACAAACACACTGTCACACGCACAAGGACGCGGACACTTGCATACTCCATCTCAAGTGAGCTCACACAGAGACACCCACCACTAGGCACCTGCTCGGTCACACACACACTCCCACACTCATTGTCACACAGACACACACGCAATCCTGGCCACACAGCCACCCACAGGCTCACTCCTGCACATGTGACATTCACTCAGTCACACACAGTCACGAGCGCTCACACTTGCCCACAGTCACGCACAGAAAGCCTCACACACAATCAAAGGCTGTCACCCCGAGTCACACGCACTAGCCGCATGAACCTGCATGCACACATGTGCTCCTGTGCACGGTCACGGTCACGCTCGCTCATCCATGACCCGATTCAGCCGCTGGGCCCACGGGCCCCCTGGACCCTCGCATCTCCGCTGCAGCCCGGCGTGTGAGCCCACAGGGCGGGGATTACTCACCGTAGGCATGACGGGGTTCCCCTGGAGAGAACCCCTCGATTCAACAGCCCCACCCAGGCTGGGAGTCACTGGTTCGTGAGGAGGAAGGATGTGTGGGGGTTTTGCAGCTGGAGAGGGAGAAGCCAGTCTCCAGATACCAGTCCCCTGGCCACTTGTCACCCCCCCCAGAGGTCCCTGGGCTTTGACACAGCCCATCCCTGAGGGCAGGGCCCCAGTAAGCCCTTAGCAATGAACTCGCCCCGGCCGTGCATAAAATAAAAATGAAAGTCTGAATGGTGATGAGTTTGGAGAAAACAAAACCGTGCGGCAGATTCGGGTCTTTCTGAGCCTCGGCGCCTGAGCGGCTTCCCCTCTCCCTGCTCCAGGTGCCCCTCGCCCCCGGCCAGCCCTCCCTTGTCCTCTGGGTCACTCTTCCGTCCCCCTTCTGCCTGTTCCCAGGGGCCTGGAGAAGGAGCCGGCAGATAAGTGAAAGCGGTATTTTTATAAGGCTGATAAAACCACGCTTATCTAGAAAGCTCTGTCCCATCTCCCCGAGCGTCCCTCATTGGTCATTTGCCCGGTGCCCCCTCCACCAGGGCTGTGGACACCCTGGGAAAGGCGTGTCCTTCCCGGCCTTCCCCCTTCTGTCCCATTGCCCTCTGCCCTCCCCCCAGGGAGGACACCCCCCCTCCGGACCTTTGCCAGGAGGACTGGGACCCCGAGGGAGGTGAGAGGGGTGAGGAAGCGGGGCGGCGGGGAGGGAGGGGTCCGGATTTCCCCAAGTGGCTTCGCTGTGCCACTATTTAATGGTGCCAACTATATTAAATTCTATACTCGCGCAGCCTCTTAAATCCATTTATGGCCCAAGCTAGACCCTGAGCTGTAATAATAATAAAAATAAAAGAAAGAATTTATGCACCCAGGGCGTGGACCCGTCACCGGCAGAAAAGAAAGGGCTGTTTCTGGCTGATCTGCTGGCCTGTCGCCCGCCCCCTGGCCCCCCGTTTCCCCTGAGCCCTGGGCGGAGGCTCCCGGGTCCCAGGGGCTGGGAGGGCACCTGGGCTCCTGGTGGGAGGGGTGACTCGTGGAGCTCGGAGAGAAGCCCGCTTAACGGAGCCCTGCTGGAGCCTCCCCGTTCCTCTCTGGGGCCCGAAGAGAAGGGCTTTCTTGTATTATAGTTCTTGTATTACATTATGTTTAGAGCAGGTCTAGACCCTACCTGTGGCCAGGAACTGTGAGGAGCCAAAGAACTGGGGTGGAGAGGCTTAGAGAGGAAGCTGGGCGGGGGGCGCAGCCCCCAGACATTGCCAAGGGTTAAAATCCAGGCTCTGTCGCTTCCTGGTTCTGGAAACTGAGCAGGTCTCTTTGCCCCTCTCAGCCTTAGTGTCTCAATCCGTAAAATGGGTCTCAATAGGACACCAGCCTCATATATGTCAAACCTGGGCACGGGCTTAGCGCAGGGCTTGGGAAGGGCAGCGATCTGAAGGCCTCGGGGGCAGAGGCGGGCCTCGGGGGAGCTGCGGCC